ATATAAAGAAAATTTGAAAAAAAAACAAAAATCCTTTAATGTAGTTAAATGAAAGTCACATTTGTTTTTCATTTAACTACATTAAAAATAATTATTTTCAAAATTTCTTCATTCTGTCAAATTTATATCCATTTACAACTTGCTTATATATCTATATATATATAAAAAAATATATATTTTTTTTCATAATAAATGTATGAGTTACTATATATATATATATATATATATATATATAAATATATATATATAGTAATATATTTTTTATAAATGTATTTTCATATATATCTATATATATATGTATGTATATATTTATATTTATGAAAGATACATACATATATATATATATTTTTATGAGTAATATGTATATATGAATGATATATATGATATATATGTATAGTTTATATAAATGCCATTTTAATGTATTAGTGATATATGTGTATGTATGAAATATGTGTATATTAATAAATATATATATATATATATATATATATATATATATATATATATATATCTCAGATTGGTCATGGGTTGCATAAGAAAGGAAAGAGACAAAAAGAAAAACAACACGTGATATACCTGGTAGACTTAAGTAAGTGGATTACAGAACGTGGTCTGGGAGATAATAGAATGAAGGAGCTAATGTTGAGCACTGCAAAGGATAGATGAAGGTGGAGAGACATGACAACATTTATATATGTAGACATGGCACATAATTAATAAGAGAAAGATGTATGATATATATATGTGTATGAGTGACATGTAAATTTATGAAATTTAGATATATATATATATATATATATATATGATATATATATATATATATATGTATATATATATATATATATTATATATATATATATTTATATACAATGTCCATAATATAAGGAAAACGGAAACAACAAAGACATAAATATGTGTATTACTTAAAAAGTAATGCATGATTAGCAATGAAATTTTTACCAAATAAAGATTAGGGTGTAATGCATAAATATTATACAAAAATTTACAAAAATTTACATTTTAGTTTTTTTTTTTTTAAAATAAGCTAAGGTTAAATGGAACAAAGGAAATAAGCTACTGGACAAAATATAACAAAATTTAATATTTGGAACATCCCTTATTTTCAATGACTTCTCTGCATCGTCAACCACATGATCTAATTAATTTCTTGCAAAAATCAGCAGTAATTCCCTCCCATTCGTCTTTCAATAACTCCCATAATATGATCCTGGTTTTTTGGGTTTCTTTTCTGAGCCCTTTCTCCATTTATCTTCCAAACATTTTCTATTGGATTCAAATCGGGGCTCTGGGCTGGCCACTTCATTAGGGCGATTCCTTCTTCAAATAAAGCCATAACCTTCTGAGCCTTGTGGCAAGGTACATTGTCCTGCATGAAAATAGGAGATTCATAAAGATTAAGGTGTAATTTTGGTACCACACACTGCTGAAGAAGTCTTTTGTAAATCTCAGCATTGATATTGCCATGTACGCGGATGATAGGGCCAACTCCTGCAGATGAAATCATTCCCCACACCATCACATTGCCACCACCAAACTTACCGGTTTTCTTGACACATTGAGAAGACAGTCTTTCACCTGTTCTATGGTGTATGTAAGTTTTGCCCTCAGAACCAAATATAGTAAACTTAGACTCGTCACTGAAATGAACTGTATCCCATTGTGCATCAGTCCAAACAACATGTTCTCTCGCATACTCCAGGTGTGCCCTTGGTTTCGCTTTGAAATGAGAGGCTTCGAAGCTGGAATACTGCATTTTTAACCTGCAAGCAACCGTTTTCCTTGAGATCTTATTATCTTTCTCTTCATTAAATTTACGGGCAATTGATGTAGCAGTTTCAAAACGTTGTTTTGTAGATATTCTAACAATTCTTTGATCTCTTTGCAATGTTTTTGGAGGTTTGCCAGTTTTTGGTTTTGCATCTAATGTTTTATCAGTCTTATACCTGCTAATTACACAATGAACGACACTTTTAGACCTATTAACAATATCAGAAATTTCTGAAATTGACTTTTTTCTTGATAGTTAGCGATAATGAGTTGTTTTTTTTTCAAAAGAGAGCGTTTTGCATGTAGAATTTGCCATATTGCTTAAAAATAAAGTCCTAATGATAAATGAACTTTTACTTATTGTTGAAAAGCTTCATCAAGTTTTTTAACAATGTAAATTAAAAGTTTATGCAAATTATTAACATTGTTCCTTAACCCAGGTTGGTTGGTTGTTTGTGTGTGTGTGTGTGTGTGTGTGTTCCTTTATATATGGGAATTTTCTACATTTTCAACTTTGGATTTCAACAAAAACTTCACTTTTTTTGGCAGGTAGTGTTTCTTATTGTCTTGCACACTTTTTTATTTTTACATTCAGAATGCTTTAAAAATTCCATTTACAAGACAATTGTTTAAAATAAAATTCTATTCAATCGGTAGACTCATAACGATTGAAAACAAAAGTTTTTTATTTGAGTTTGGGTTTGACCAATTCGTAAAAAAAAAAAAAAAAAAAAAAATAAAACTAATTAAGACATGCGTGTCCATCAACCTTAAACAATAATCTTTGTCAATTTTATTTTTCAGTCTTTATGACGGTTGGTACTTGATCTATCTCTTACTGTTACATCCCCAGGCAACGCCGGGCTCTACTGCTAGTGTTTATTTAAAAAAAAAAAAACTATTATGTAAATTTTTGTAACTTTGTATAATATTTATGATTACAATAATTTTTATTTGGTAAAAATTTCATTGCTAATCATGCATTACTTTCTAAGTAATACACATATTTATGTCTTTGTTGTTTCCATTCCTTATATTATGGCCACTACTGTATATGTATGAGTGATATATATCTATATATGTTTGAGTGATATATATATATATATATATATATATATATAAATATATATGTATATGTATGCATATAATATATATATATATATATGTGTGTGTGTGTGTATGTAAATGTTAAAATTATATATGTGATTTGTATGTATTAGTGATATATGTGTATGTTTGACATATATATCTATGTGTATGTATGTATGTATGTATAAATATATGTATGATATATATATATATATATATGTATATATATATATATATATATATATATATATATATATATATAAATATATATATATATATATATATATATATATATATATATATATATATATATATGTGTTTGTATACATAATATATGTATATTCACTCATATGTATATGTAGTTTTTATATTTATTAAATTGTTTTCTAAATTAAGAAAATTATAAATAAGTTTCTTTCCATTTTAAATATATATATTTATTATATAAGTTACCCCAAAATATTGAAAATACTAAATATATTCAGAATCTCCTATATACTCTTCTATATATATAAATATTTGTTTATAATTAGTAATATATGCCATAATTCTTATAAATTCATGTTTGGTGTATAAAGAGTTTTGTTGGTCTTTGCTCAGATACACCCCAAAAATTATTCTTGTATATTATATATCTGTGGATATTATTTGATTTATATAAATATTTATTGTGGTTATATAATTTGCCTGATATAAAATGTGTTTAATGGTGCAGAGTCCTGTTTGTAAACATTGGGTTTCCATTTTAATATCCACCCATTTGACCTATTTTATATACTACCTCCTCAAGGCATAACAACTTATTCATCTATTTGTGTTGAGTCTGAATTTTTTTCATGCTCTTTTTTTCACATATAAATTCCTCATTTGACCCTACTAATTTTTGCAGTTGACAAAATCAAATTTATAAATATATGCATGCAAAAAATTATAAAAAAAAATAAATATAACAATTTTGTCATTGCCAAAATATTTAATATGTGTATATTTTGTATCTTTGAACATGGTGAACAACATCTTGAATATGTTTTGGAAAAAAAATAGTATAACCAAAAATATTGAATATATATAATATTTGGACAATTTAAAAATAGTTTATGTCCAGATAAAGAAGAAATATATATAAACATAAGGAAAAATTGAATAAACAGCTTAATTTTAATGCCCTGTCAATCATACTTTTAATGAAATATATATATATATATATATATATATATATATACATATTTATATATATTTTTATATTTATACATTCTTTTTATATATACAAATATTTAAGTAAATGCCCAAAATATAATAAACAGTATTAAACATTTATATATTCTGAATGTCCGAAAATTTTCATATAAAATATAAAACTTCCAGGATACATTTGAACCTATATCCTATATGGGAATTTTATACAGTAAGTCACAAAATTGTTTTTTTTTTTGGATTTAAAAATTTAATGAAAAATTTATATCCATGAATCTCTCGTTAATTTTCAAAAATCATGGCTTATCAAATGTAAACAAATGAAATCAAAATTATAAAATGGACAAAGTCCAACAATTATTTTAAGACATTTTTTATGTTTATACATTCTTTTTATAGATAATTGATTTAAGTAAATGCTCTGTTTATAATAATATATATAATTCAAAAGATAACTTTTCCATTTAAAATATAATACAAAATGGAAAAATGAAAACTTAGCTGATTTATTTCATCCTTTGATGGACATTTATCAAGGCAAATGTAAGGATTTTATTTTTTACAAATTATTTACAAACAAGGTAAAATGTTGTTAATTTTAATGATTTTTTAAATTTAAGAATGCTCATAAATATAAATCAGTCTAACTGAAAATCAATGTAAATTATAGAGGATTCTAAGTTGTAATTTAATCTCTAATAAACGAAAGTGAGTGAATGTTGTTAAACTCTTTTATAATGATATTATTTTAGTTTGAGATTATTTTATGTATTATAGATTTTAAATAATAGAAGGTTTTGAATTTAACTGTTTTCTTTTAATTTAAAAAATTTTTATAATCATGTATGTTGGCGTGGGAAAGGACTCTTTTCTCAAGCCAACATACATAACTATATCATACTACTATTCAACATTTTCTTTTGATACAGGAAAACCGAATGGAATTGGCTTATTTAGCTCATAATGTCTGTGAAATTGATAAATATATATAAAAATTGCTAAATTAAAGGTGAATTTTAATTATGTTTCATTTCAGAAAGATGTATTGTTCTTTTACTATTTTGATATTTAAATTTTCAAAATTTATAAGAGCCAAAATTCTTTAGATATATTATTTATTAAAAATGAATTGTTGTATTAATTCCGTAAATATTTATATAAAAAACAAATTATGAGGATAAGTACCTTTCATTATTTGATTATGCTCTTTTATAGTTAAGATTGTAGTGATTGAAAAGTAAGCATCCATTTAAATTTCTGTTCCAAAATAATATTTTGTTTTTTGAAAAAATTCTGTCAGAATGATATCTCCTTTTTTTATAATGGAATATATATTTTTAAATTTGTCAACAGTGTATAAAATCATTGATATAAGTCTGTGAAAAATCAGAATTTGTAAACTAAAAAAAGGAATATTATTTTGTCAAATATTTACCATGGAAATAATGATAATGTTTCATCTGTGGGAAAGGGGTTCTTGAGTGAAAAATAATCACCACAAGGCTGTGTTGATGCTTTTGAACTCTATGAAGGATTGAAAGAGTTGAAGAGGCAACTCCAGTCTAGAAATGGCAGCAGGACTGCATTTTTGGTCTGATCTGGTCTGAAGGAGCCAAGTACTTTCTAGAGCTATAAGGCTATAGTCCCAGCAGACATTTGAAGCAAGAAGCCTCCTTAATAGCATAAGTATTCATTGAATATTCATTTTATATTGGTTTGAACAGAATCATGACATATTTGCTGTATTGATATTTTTAGTAGCCTTAATCATATTTAAATATACAGCTGACAATGTATTATAAGAAGAAAACTGTACATTTTTTCTCTTTAAAGTTTCATTTTGTTATTTTTCATTTCCTTGAATATTTGAAACATTAATTAAAAATTTGAATAAATTTAGTTTTCAAGTTAAAAAAAGAATATTGAAATTGTATCAAAATTACTTCACTTTTTAATGCCAGACAAGTTGATATAAAATTCAGAGTATTTCATTGATTGAAGATAAGTAATTGAAAAATATGTTGAATTAAAAAAAAATATTTTTTTTTTTTTGCTGATTATATTGTAGAATTTTACAACAAAAAAAATAAATTTGATGCCAGCCACAATGATAAGTTTAAGTGAACAAAAATTTTAATTTTAATATTACATTGAAAGGTGTTATGGATTTTTTTAATAAACAAAAACTGATTTGAGTTAGAAATGTACATTTTTAATTCTACAAGTACAATTATCACTTTAAAATGTGAACAGATAATCAGTTAAATTTGTCTTCATGATGATCATATTTTTTTTTGTAAAATAGCTATTTTCTTACAACTGAATTTTCTTTTCCTTATAGCAAATTTTGTTTTCTTTTCAGCTAATTACTATTCTTTACGATCTCAGCATGAGAAAGCTTTGTTATATTTTCAAAGAGCTCTTAAATTGAATCCTCATTATTTATCAGCTTGGACACTTATTGGACATGAATATATGGAAATGAAAAAATTATTTAAATTGAAGAATTATTTTAATGCAATAGGTAAGTAAGCAAATTAAAAAAATCCAAAAAAATGCTTTAAAAACTTTTTTTTAAATAATTTTTATTAATGCAAATATTTATTTTTTCTCCAACATCCTTAATAAGATAATTTGTCAAAATTTAATGTAAAACTCCTTCAGACTAAATAATGTTTTAGTTTGTCTATATTTTGAAATTGATGAGGTTGTTATGTAAACTATTTACATTTTTAATTACAATCATAAGTAACCATGTTTAAATTTATGAAATAAAATTTGAATTTTAAATCCAGCCTTCAGGAGTGGTTTTATGAAAACTGAACCCTTTATTTTGCTTTTAATAGAAAAAGCCTTTCTGTTTTTTACGTTTTGTATAAATGTCTAATTTCTTCATATTTTTTTATATTAATTATCTCCTGCTAATTCCCCTCTCCAAGTTCTCCAATGCCTTAATTCATTATTGAACTCAAACTTTTGGTTCCTGTCACTGGATCTAATTAACGCCTTTATCCACTGTGCCATGTGTCCTTGAGGACATCTGTATATGTTTTTGTGCATTATAACAACCAATAACTGATAAAAATATATAGATATGGCATATGGATTAGAACAGTCTACCCCCCTGAAATAAATAAAGGGTTTTGTTTTTTTACCAATTGAAGAATTTAAAATTTTTTTATAATTCTGAAAATTTTTTAAAATATGGCAAACAAATTTTTTTTTAGAATTTTTATATTACAATTTATTTCTATTGTGATTTAATTATTTTTTTATTTTATATTGATAAATTATATAAAAACTGTCTGAATATTCTTTTTATCAGAGAAACAATTTCATACATTTATAAATATTTTTATATGTGGAAACACTTTTTGTACTGTACTTGTTTATTACATTAATATAATAGCATCATCTACATGCAAAAAAAGGGTAAAAATAATGGAAGCCTTATTAATAAAAAAAAAAAAATAACAATATATATTAACTTTTATAGCATGGACACAATATCTTATTTGTAAAATTGAAAAAAAAAAAAAAAAATTTTATAAACCATATATTCCAACAAAAACTATTTTTATTTTAAAAATTAAAATATTTAATCCTTGAAAATAATGTAATGTATAAATAAAAATATATATATATAAAAAATATTTCAGACAGTTTTTATATAATTTATCATCTGAAAAAAAAAATATTATTAGATCGCATGAGAAATTGTATAAAAATATAAATAAATATATATTGTATGTATATTTCAATGATATATATATATATATATATATATATATATATATACACTGCGTGCCAAATTATTATCGAGATAACTCTTTTTCTAATATTTCAAAAACCGTCCGATCAATTCACACAAAATTTTCACACAATGTTGGCAACACTGACCTGCACAATCACTGATCTTTCGTACTGATCTGCGCAATGTAAACAAACTGGCGCCATATTTGTTATTAGCACGGTGATTTGAGCGTGACAAATTATTAGAAAGGTTTAGTAAAATTCCCAGAATTGAGCAAACAAAACGTTTATTAATGTTGCACATGAATGTTTATGATCAAAAGAAGCTAATAAATAAGATAATCAGACAAATAATAACAGATACAAACAAAGGCACAGTTTTAAACAAATTAATAGGAATGTGCTTTCCCTGTTTTGAAATTACTTGAAGAAGTTGATGATCCATAGAATTTGTTAATTGTAGGATGTTATCTGCTGTAATGCCGCGAGATATGTCAAGAATTGCTTCCCATAACTCAGCGTTGCTCCTGAATTGTCGTCTGTTGGCGTACAGTCTTCGCTTCATGATGCTCCAAAGGTTTTCGATTGGGTTCAAATCCGAGAATTTGCTGGCCACTTCATTTTTCGAGGTCCATCGAAGCCTAACTGTTCAAATATTCAGTAGTCTTGTGAGCAGCATGTGAGGGAGCGTTATCTTGCATAAAAACAATGGCCCTTCTGAAGGCAACTCTTTGCCTTTTCATTCACGGTTTAAGATACTCTTGCATAAACGCTATGTATGCATCAGCAGTCATTTTGACGCCATCTGGTACTCTCCATGGGCCCACTAATGTTTTTCCAATAATACCACCCCAGATCATTATGCCTCCACCGCCTTGTTGGCGTCTCAAAACGCTGATGGCGATTCTGTCCGTTCATTACCCAGCCTTTGCACCATCTATCTGGCCCATCAAGTGTTGCTCGAGTTTCGTCTGTGAACAAAACTTTAGAGAAGTCAATCTTCATATTGTCCTCGGCCCATTTCAATCGATTTTTGAATGTGATTTCTCGTCAACGGAGGCTTTGATACAGGTTTGACTGTTGTTGCTATTTCCCCAGATACCGACACCGAGTACTTTTAGACACAGTAGGATCCCCAATGCGACTGAAAAGCTCTTGACTGGTAAGTCCAGGGTTCTTCGTGGCCTCTCGTTTAAGTCATGACATGAGACGACGTGAAATAACCCTCGGCTTGCCTTTATCTGCCCTTTTGCGTACTTGTGTAGGGTCGGCGGTGAACTTTTTTCACTGTTTGATGACACCTCCTATCATTTTAGAAATTTCTAGGGTAGATTTACCTTTTTGAGAGTTCTGAGGTGATAGTTTTTTTTTCAGCATCACTTAAACTGCTTTTACGGCCCATTTTTCACTAAATTCTTACACTTTTCTAATAATTTGGCACGCTCAAATCACTGTGCTGATAACAAATATGGCGCCAGTTTGTTTACATTGCGCAGATCAGTACAAAAATTTCAGTGATTGCAGGTCAGTGTTGCCAACATTGTGTGAAAATTTTGTGTGAATTGATTGGACGGTTTTTGAAATATTAGAAAAAAAAAGTTATCTCGATAATAATTTGGCACACAGTGTATATATATATATATATATATATATATATATATATATATATATATATATATATATATATATATATGGTTTGAGGGTTGAGGATGCGGTCCAGTCCAAAACCAATATGCTCTTTCCACTTATAAGAATGATAAATATAAAAAATATAATGACGAAAGAGAAAAATATGGTTAAATAAAATATTTTCAAATAAAAAGTGTAAAAATTCTTCCACCAGTGTTTTTTAAATTATTATACTTTTGTCATTAAAAGCACGCCTGATTTAAATAATGATCTGGTCATTTTTTAGTTTATTATCAAATTTGTATTTTCAGCTCAGGTTAAAAAACGAAAATATATAAATAATATTTATATAAAATAAAATTATGTCTTACTAAAAAATCTCAAGTCTAACAAAAGAATGTTGTTAAATCTTAGGCAAAAGAAAAAAAATCAGTTGTCCAAAAAAAAAGAATTGCAAGCAGAATTTAGGATCGAAAATAAAAAAATACCGCATAAAAAATAAATAAAAAAAAAAAATAATAAAAACAAACTCAAAGAGGATCAAATATGTTGAGAAACGGCATTTAACTATATCTATCTGTTTAATACTAAATTAATGTTCATGTAAGTC